CGACCTGGAGAAGCGCATCGGTGAGGCGGCGCGGGGGGCTCTCTCTGCGGGGAGGGGAGGGAAGGGGTCCCGAGCCCTTCGGCTCCTTCTCCGCGGCTTCGGGACTCCAGGTCGCTGCTGCCTCGGCTTCCCCCTCTGTAAAACGGGTGCGATGCCAGCCTCGTCGCGCCTGGTTGCGTTTGCAAAGCGCTGGCTGCTCGGGGCGCGTGTGCGGTAGCCCGGGTTGCTTCAGCCCCGCTTGGCTTCAGACGGGCCCGGGGGGAGGAGGAGGAGGCCGAGGCCAAGGCCGGGACAGAGGCTGGGCGTGCTGCTGGCGCGCGACGGAGCAGCTGGTCCAGGAGCGGAGGTGGCGCCGGCCCAGAACAGGTGCGGACGTGCACAGCGCCCGGCTCCCAGGTGATGCTGCCACCGGGTCTGCTGTGAGCGTGCGAGGGGGTGCAGCCTCTCCGGTCCCGTTGCTGCCGGTTCGCCCCGGAGCCAAAGAAACCAGCTAGAAAGCAGGTAGCCTTTCTTCGCGGTCAGTGGCTCGGCCAAACCGACAGGGGACACTTGCTACATGCGTCCGGCGCTCTCCAGAAAATACCCGTCTGTGTCCGCGCGTCTGGGTTTGGCCCATCCGCTCGCAGGCCGGCGCACGGATGCGCAGAGCTGTGCCGTATTGCTTTCTCGGGCCGTTCGGTGTATTGCCATTTCCGTTCCCCTTCCACGTTTCGGGACCATTCGCCTGGCTTGTCAAATCGTGCAGGAGGCCGCACCGCGGTCGAGAGCCGCTTAGCGCTGTCTTCCCCCCCAGCGCTTCCCGGGTGTTGCTTGTGGCCTTCCCAGGACAAGGTGGAGGCAGCCACAGGCCGCTGTGTGAGCTCTGCGGGGGAAAGGAGGCGGGTGTCAGGCTCCGGGCCACCTCTGCAAGGGTTGCACTCCTGCAGACTCCCGGGCCAGCTTCAGACCTGCTTGTGGTACCGGGAGCGGGGATTTGTCGTGGGTGCTGCGCAGACGGCGGCACTGATCCCGCAGTCTCGGGCTGGACTCGGGTCTCCAAGGCTGGGGTCTCGTCCCGCTTGCCGCGTGCGGATGCTGGACGGGCTCCGCTGTAGCGGCGGGGAGAAGGTGCGGTGTTCTCTACCGACCCTGCTGCCATGCTGTCTGTGGGGTTCCCGCGAGTACGCGAGCACCGTCGGCGCACCTAATACCTACACTTTCCAGCCAGACTCGGGCCAGTCCCGTGCCCGCTCCCGTTCAATTCCAGGGAGACTCGGGCACTTAACTCCCTCCAGCAGCTCTGAAAAGCCCAGCCTCCGCGTAAACGAAGAACATCCCGCAGCGCCGCGGAGCGCTGTGCTCAGCCCCCGCTCGCCATCTGTCACTGCACACCGCTCCCTCTCGCGAGCTCCCCGATCCCCGTAACCGCTGCGTAGCCTTGGTGCGAGGGACACGGCCCTCCGTCACGCCACGTCCTTAATGTCGAGCCAGGCGAGGTGTCGGGGTGCCCGGTGTTGTGTTCTGCGGCAAAGCTGTTAATTCACGTGAAGTGATTATCACGTCGTCCAGAGGAATCTTCCTCTTGGGCGAAACCAGGTTAAGATGTGTAGCTCCAGCTCGTGCTCACGCCGGACGTTTTATTTTGCAGATGAACAATGTTAGGGTTCGGAATAATGACTTCAGGCACCGGTGCCGTGGAGAGTCGTGACTTGCCACCGGCCTGCTCTGCCTGCGGGCCCTGTATCCATGGCTCGTGTTTTGGGAGGGGACGAGGGTTGGTATAGTAACAGAGTGCCCGCCTGTGCTTGCGACAGCTGTGTCACAGGCCCGTGCGCGTGTTCCCGAGTAACAGGCGTGCGAGCAAAGCTAGTGTGAGACTTCTGAAATCTGTCATCCCTGAAAGCGGTCGTAGGAGAATAATTTCAGGTCGCCGGCTTTCAGACACCCACAAAATGGCTATCTTGGGCTGTTTCGCTTGCTGTTTAAAAATACCTACTGCCAGGTGCTGCCTGCCGTGTCAGCTGCCACTCTTCATGCAACGCGCTCGTTTTCCCCTTAATGGGCCTGAAACGGTCAGAGCCGTGGTTTTGCAGCCCTGGTAACTGCTTGTGTCATGTGCTCCTTGCTGTGATCTCCAGGCAGTGCTTTTTTTCCTTCAAGCGACATGTGCGTTTCTAAAGCCCTCCTCCACGCACCACCGCTGCTGCGCTGTGGAGCTCGGGCACCTTTGGCGACAGGCCTGGAATTCGTCGGGTGCCAGCGCACGCAAATCCATCTGGCCGTGTCCTTAAAATGCCCCGAACTCGGGAGCTGGTGGGAGCGAGCTCTTCTACCCGCACTCCCAGCCAAAAGATGCACCGCCAGCCTGCCCCCAGATCCCCAGGGCAGTGCCAGGTCTTCCCTCGCCGTAGCTGTGCTGCTGGTGCCAGGTCCTTGCTGGGGACGCTGTAGATCGCGCTTGTCTGAGGTGGCCGTTTCTTGGCGTCGGTAGCCGTGCTGCACGGACCGTTGTCGAAGTCTTGTGTGCTCTCGCGTACAGCGCTACTTCCTCTGGTCGGGACGTGTTAGAGAGCCCCTTTTTTCCCCCTGTGGCACAGAGCAGTGTCGGTGCTACTAGGCACAGCTGCCAAACGCTCAGTATTTCTGTAGCACGTCGGCTTCCAGACTGGGGTGGGATTGAACACGGCCGACCCGAGGAGGTGGGAAGCCCCCCGGCTCGGCGCGTCTGGCAGACCTGGGTTTCCCCTGTGTAAGCCTGCCTGTCCCCTCCTCTCTGCCCCGCAGATAGCATGGGCACCTCCACCTACCGCCCGCCCGCCCGCACGATGGAAGTGGTCATAAACAAGTACGTGGTGAAACTGAAGTACTGCTACACCTGCAAAATGTTCCGGCCCCCCAGGACCTCCCACTGCAGCGTCTGCGATAACTGCGTAGGTAAGTCCAGGGCTGGAGACCGGGCATGCCCCCTCGAGGGGACTGGGCATAGGGAGCAGTCCAGCGGGTCCCAGGCTTTTGGGGTCCGCTAGCCCGCTCCTAGAAAAGCTCGTAGGGAAGAATTTCCATGGGGCTTGTGAATCTGCCAGAGGTGCGGTGACCTCGACCTGGGAACTGCTAGTTTGGGCCCTTGAGCGAAGGCTTTTCTGCTTCCTCTCAAGAGGCTTGGAAAGAAAAATAAGAGTTTAGGAGGGAGTCTCTCCCACCTCCGCCTGGCCTCACATGCACACAGTGCCAGGCCAGGGTACAGCACGCTAACAGTGGTGCCAGGTAGGAAGGGTTTCATCAGTACAGTCCCACCTCTTGTTTCAACTCGCCTCCAAGCATCTCTCTGTGAAGTGCTACCCTGTTCTCTCAACCCCTGCTTGGCTACAGTGAAGGAGAGGGCACAGCCAGCCTCCGTCTTCACCCTTCTGCCCTCCCCTGGGGGGGAGAAAGTTGGAGATTGCAAGTTGTGGGTATATTCCACCCCCTCGCCAGGCATGGGGACAGCGTGGGATCTGGGTGTGTGGCAGGGAAGTCCTTGACCTAGGCTAGAGTCTAAAGGACTGGCTCACAAAGTTGGCAGGGCTGGGGAACGTATGGGCTTGTCCCTGCTACAGCCCCTCATACCTGCGCTGCGGCACCAGGGCCTGGTGTGGAGGCAGCTCTGCCGTCTGCAGGAGCTTTCCTGCTGCCCGTTACAGCCGCTCCCCTGATGGCAGAAGCCTTCTCTTCCCAGGGCTGTCCCCCCACTGGGGTTTGCCAGCCACGGGCCGTGGTCTTCCCCACTCCTGTCTGGCACAGCTCGGCTGGCAGAACTGCAGAACGTAGATGAAACTGAGGCGAACGGCAAGTCTGCTGATCACAGGCCCTTCCTTGGCTGGAGCCCTGTCTGAATGCAGGCTCCCGATCCAGTCTTCCCCGTTGTAGAGCTGCAGTGGCTTGGGAACGGATGGACCTACTGACCCAGGGGCTGTCCCCAGATCTCCAGCCCCGTCTAAAAGGGGGGTGGGTGCCAGCAGGGTGTTTGAGAAGCCGATGGCTGGCAGGAGGCAGTTCTGCGGAAGGGGATACATAGCATTAGCCCATCTACTGCGTGGCACGGTCAGCTGTTGTGCTCAGAGCCCTGCAGGAGAACCCGGCATGCTTCTGGGAGCCATTTCTGGCCATTCGGGACTCTGCGTCTGTCCTCTTTAGGCCCTTCTGGAGCAACCCCTCAGCAGAAGTATATGCTGCTGAGATGCAGCCTGGGCCTGTCATGGCTCCGGTCCATTTTTGCGGGAGCAAGACTGCAAGCTTTGTGCCCTGGCAGATTCCCACCTGGCTCCCTGCAGTCCCCTCTGAGCCCCAGCTCGATGGGGTGTTTTCACCCCAGAAGTCTGTTTTGTGTAGTGTGGTCATGGGCGGTGTAGGATCCAGTAGTCTTGTACCAGAGGAGGACTGCATTTCAGCGGTGGCAGTGACTCGTGTGTTGGTGTCACCAGCACTGCTGCTGCAGGCACCTCAGCCCCCCAGGGATCTAGCTCCTTCTGGAGAGGCAGAAGGGTCTCTCTGCAGATCACGTCTTGGGATCCCGACCAACATTTGAGGCTTTGCAATGTGATTTTCCTGATGTTTGAAGATGCTTTCCTTCTCTGCACAAACGGAGGAAGCTGTCTGACGCACCGGGGCTGGCGGAGCTGAGCGCACACGGTGCCGCCGGAGGCACAAAACAAACAAATTAGAACAGAATTACGCTCTTTGTTTCCATTGCAGCAGCTACAGATGCTGCGAGTGACAGTAGCTGCCTAAAGCTATATTCAGACAGAAGGGGCTTCCGGCTGGGATCCCTTTCCAGTCTAATAGACCTTAAAGGTGCATGGGCTGCAGAGCCCTGTATCAGTTCAGTGAGAGCGTCCTTTGTTAGTATGTTCTGGACTTAAAGCTTGGGATCAAGTAGGTGGCAAAGGGTTGCTTGCAGCCCCTGGATTCACAGAGGCTCTGCCGAAGGTTTGGCGCTCGGCTGGTGCGTGGGACACGTGGTTCCCTAATGTCATTCCCTCTCCGGTTTCAGAGCGGTTTGATCACCACTGCCCCTGGGTGGGCAACTGCGTGGGGAAGCGCAACTACCGCTACTTCTACGCCTTCATCCTCTCCCTCTCCTTCCTGACGGCCTTCATCTTTGCTTGTGTCATCACCCACATCACTCTGCGTAAGTACTGCGTGCCCCCCTCCTGGGAGCCTTCGCTGCGGGCACCTGATTTAGCGTATGCTGAAAAGCAGCTTCTTAGGTCACGTCAGACTAGCTGGATACCGGGTCTTCTGCCGCTCCATCACCTGGGTGAACCAGATTGAGGGTTGCAGTGAGCTGTAAACCCCTAAACCTTGTGAGTTTGGTGATTGCGTTGTGGATCTGTATGGCAAATAAGTTCGCGTTGGGGCTGCAGTGGGTTGGAGGGTGGGTCTGTGTGTATGCATCTGCCATTCATGCCTAGGCCTGGCCTCATTTAGTCCCAAACCTTGTTGAGCACATGCTGCAGCCCAGCATTTCTCAGAGGCTCCATGTGGCTGAAGCTTTGTAGCTGGCTGGGCAGATCCGTGAAGCCTCTTGGGATGGGCACGTACCCCAAGGCAGAACAGGATGGCTGGACGTGGGAAGCTGCCTTCGTGAACTTAGTGCTTTGTCCCATTCAATTCGCAGGCTCTCAGAGACAAGGATTCCTCGACACTCTGAAGGCAACGCCAGCCAGATATCCTTTGGTGCCTGTGGCTTTCTGGGCTAGTCTCCTCTTTGCATATTGACATGGTCCTGGATCGGGCAGGGCGCTGGGGAAGAACCCTAAAGCTGTAGTGATCTGGGGAGGGTCGCACTCACCTGCAACATGCTGTAAGCCTTTCCATCAGGGCACCTCAATGTACCTTCCACATCTTTGTCGATGTCCTCTCCTTCCTCCTGGGAGGCAGAAGGCAGGCTTCTCTGTCTGCGTAGCTAGTGAGACCCTGGGTTCAGCACACAGCCGCTCACCGTTGACTTGGGTTTGGAAGGCGAGCTGGCTTCTGGCGTGGGAGGGGATACAGGGAAAAGCAGGGGATGTCCCTGAACTGGCTGCGGTGAGCTGCACCCAGGTGGGGGGTCCTGGAGCCGCGCTGGCAGTGAGGGGAAGGGACCGGCCTGCCTTCTCTGCGCTAAGGGGATGCATTCTCCGTGCTAGGGGCAGGCCAGGTGCTTTCCCTTGGGGTTAGGATGCGCATTCTCCAGGCCTCCCATCCAGCCCCTTTTGGGCACGTCACAGCCTTGTGTGCCTCTCCACGGACAGCATCTCCAGCATGAGGCTCTCCTGTAGTCAGACCACAGGGCTCTCCCTGCTGCGTGGGTTCAAGCCTGGGGTTTCCTTGACTCTCTTTCCACTGTGCTGGAGCTGGTGATCTGTTTTTTCTCAGTCTGGTCTATTTTGGGCCTCTCAGGTTTTCACACTTACCTAGTCGCCTCCAACCTGACGACGAACGAAGACGTAAGTACTGCGCGCGCCACGTCTTGGCAGAGGGACCAAACGGGTGTGAGCGCCACTTCGGAGCTTGCACTCCATTGCTTTCGAGGCAGCAAAGAGGGGATCCACCCATCTGTTGGTGGCTCACCTTGCAGCAGCGCGGGGGTGGGGGGTGTTACCTTAACAGTGGATGATGATTACAGAGCAAATAGTTGGCTTTAGGCCACAGGGGTTTGCCTTGTGGTTCAGGTAGTGGGGTAGGGAGTCACAGCTGGGGGGAGGGGGGTGCAGGGCATGCCAGGGAGAGCAGCACAAAGGGTTTGTGCCAAGGCTGACCCAGTGGCTAGTACACTGCAACCTTTGAGCTAGAC